CTCTTGGAGACCGAATACGACCCCCCCTATTGGGGATTCCCCAACAACGATGTGCCCTGATTGTGATGTTCCTCTTTTTCGCCGTATTTGAATGACGGGAGCACAACTGGTGAAGAATAATATCCATATCTCCGCCCTTCTTCTTCTTCTTATTCTTCAGCGTTTGTCCCGCTCTGTAGCGGGGTCCGCTCTCCTGATTTTGTTACGCCATTTATCCGGTCGAATGCCTGATCAGGGTGAGCACCAACTATCTTTAAATCCGCGTGCAGCGTGTCAAGCCAACGTTAAATTTCGTAGGTCATCATGCACTGTTCCTTCAATTGGCAATATGTTGGACCGAACGCAAAACCTTTGTACATTCGTTGCCGATTCAGCTCTTGTATGGATTTGTAACAGATCAGCTGATGTCCCCAATGTTACAGATCATCCGCCTCGAGACTGAGAATGCCGTCTTCAAAGCAAATATCCCATCTGACATCCTTAAGGAATTTGTCTCTTGATCATTCAAACTGATTTCGTTTACATCAAATTATGGCAAATTGAAATTTATCGCCTTTGTTCAATATTTGTAAGAAGTGCTTGATACTGGTGAACTTAAATTCCTTTTGTATTATAGAAGAGAGTTTTATCATTGGAAGCATTTATTCGTCGTACATTTTGTGCATATGTATGTATGTGATATTACTGTATAGTATCGGATTGGACCATAAGTAATGACGTTTTTTCTAGCCCGAAATTGTGTATGAGAGGTGAAGAGTTCTGCAAATGCTTCTTATACCGATCTGTAGGGAATTTTATGCTATGAGAGGCACGTAGCTTGGTTTATTCACTTTTCCTAATTTAGCTGTCATCATATTATGAACTCTTGGTTAGGTGGTATCATGTCCGCAAAAATGACCATTCGAGACCGCATTTTTTAGTTTTGTTAAACTACTCGAGGAACTGAAACTGGTGGTGCCCAATGGCTTTAACCGAGGAAACGATACCTCGCTGGACATTTGGAATTTGTTTCAAGGCAGGGGACGATAGCTGGGGCAGGTGGTTCTCACCAACGTCATTTTTGGAAGGCTGCATGGGGCAGGGCCGAACGCCTCTCGCAAGCCTTCCACCAATAATGTCGGCAGCAATTGCCCGCCTCCCAGCCATCGTGTCCCTTGCCTTCAAGTGATCCAAAAATGGCATTTTCGTCCTTGTAATTGTGCCTCACACCAGATAGCCTGTTCAGTTCGAGGAGCGACTGCATGGGGAACCCAGCGCTAAGTTTTCGAATTTCTCTCATCGAGTTACGATGCCACCCAACTAGGCGTTTGACGTGGATCGTCGTTCTGTAGTGGGCGTTGGGTGCGACGTTGAGCGCGGGAACAAATTTATCCTTCTCGAGTCGCCTGGAGTAATTAAAAAATGCAAATCATTGCTTCCTTGGCCATACAACTCAGAAAGCTTCTGGGGCGCGATAACCTTCATAAAACGCCAAAAGAAGTAGTCAGAAGTGCTCATCATCGATCTAGCACTCCCGATTGTCTAGAAGACCGATAATTTTCAATCAAATGGTGTAGAAAAACACGCAGATTATCTTACAGAGCGCAAAATTCCCTATCGAACTATGTAAATCTGCTAGCAAAGCCTTTCATCTCTCACACAGAGAGTTTCCGAGTTATAAAAATTGCCGCAATTTATTGGCCAATTTGATACCCTCTTTTATGTATACAAAACTTCATATGTACCCGACAAGATAAAGTTGATACAGATTAGAAGGTGTATCTTAGTGAACTTAAAGACACTGTCTGGCTTGCTGGGTAGGCGGAGCCAGTTAGCGACGTCTTCGACGTGCCCCTGCTTTTCACGATCTTCGACTACTTGAGCATGTTCCCTTCAGTCGTGTCAAGTTTCTGTTTTTCTCCGCACTTTCTCGTTTGCGACCGTTCTATGATCTCTGCGACCCGTACATTTCGTCTTTTCACGCATTATAAGGTCACTCACCATAGAGCCTACCCTTGAAAGAACCAACCCCATGGCTCGCCACATGCTTTCACTCCTTCCATTCTTTGTCAGCTACTGTCCTCTATCTGTCTGCATGAAGCGTTTCGCAATGAGACCGCGCAAATATTTAAGTTCAATTATTCACGTAATCCATTTTCCCGTTTCGTTATAGAAAGAGGAGGGCGCCAATGAAGCCGTTTCCTTGCTCCGCCTACCAGATGCTCCCAGTATTTTTGATCGCTGCTTCAGCTTCACTGGTTGATCTGTTCCTGGTGCATATGCCATTTCACGAATGATCGGACTGACGCGATATTGATGATGTTCTTTTGTTAGTATTTTTTAAAACTGGAGATTTCTACAGGCTGGTTACTTGAATTGCAAATAAGCAGAATGGGATAAATCGCTGAACGATGGGAACTGTGATGTCACAACTTGGATTCAACCAAGCCTTCCTCCTCGCTCTTATTGGCATTCTCGCTATGCTAGGTCTGACAGTACTTGCCATCGGTGAGGACGAGAGGGATCAGCAAAATAACTATATTCTTCCATTGATTCGAGTACGACCACCAGCAGCAACGGAACGAAAAGTAATCTGATATTTATTGAATGTGTAGATTCCTGTATAGTTTGTACATTATGCTCCTTCAGAATTGTACAGAATGATGTTTATAGAAAGATAATTTATGAAGCAATAAATATTTTCTTTCTTTGTGCGTGCGTTCTCTGCATCATATTAAATGATATTTTGAGTTGATAGGCTGAGAAGTGATGTATTTGTGAAAAATCGTTTCGAAACGTGTCCCACGATACCCGTATGGGCGGAGCCGGGTGTAGCATCGTGCCTTCCTCGCTGATGCGTCCTGACGACAAGACAGTAGTGGTGTGGAAAAAGGTAGAGCTGGCTCCGCCCACATGATGTGAGGGAAATGGGTCCTTTGCCGCCAGGTACTGAAAAATGACTGAGAACATTGGAGCAGCTTCAGCGCCCGGGATAGTAGATCAAGATGGGCGAAGATTCCATGCCTTGGTGCTGCCATGCTAAATTCCATAAACTATCTTGCGAAGGCAATTCAAAGGGTGTGCATGGCAGCACCGAGGCATGACATCTCTATCCATTTTGACCTACTATCCCGGCGCTGAAGCTGCTTCATTTTCTGAGGAACACGGATGCTAATTGAGCAGCGTTTAGTCTTTGAACTAGTAGGGGTCGTTCTCCTTCTTTTCTATCGAATGCCAAATCTGAAAAGATCTTTCAGGTCGTGGCGCGCTTTTCAGAAATGGTTTGTTGCATGTTGTAGGGGTCCATATAAGGATCACAAAAATGGGTTTCGTTTTTGCTATGCATTTCTGGGGAAGGTCAAAAAATGGGTGAAAAGTTTGCTGAGGAAAAGCGATTTTGAACCATTTTTCTAGGCTCTTTTCTATTTCTAATGTCGAGTATGCATAGCAAATGAGACCTTCGTCGACACTGCATCGAAAACAATACAAGAAAAGGTGAAAAAAGAGGTAGCTCAAATGGCCTAGGCGCCAATTATGAAGGTCAGAACCGTGATCAGGGCCGTTAATAACCTCTATATATCAGACTTTCAGCGAAATTTTTATAATTTTTGTATAATGCCTATGATCAAAGGGATTTTACTTACGGCATTTCTAATGTATTAATTTTTGTTTTTTCTTCCCTTCACTATCGATGTACTTAACACCTACCCCTTCCTTAAACTTCTAGGCACTTTGTAAACTAGACCTTGAGGGGAATTCCTCCCCCTTCCCCCGCCTCTCGCCCCAACAAGGAGTTATTCTAAACTGAACTCTCTCCTGTGAGCAGAGAGGAGTAGTTTACAATTGCACCTCGGAGGAGGAGCATTGATCATCACCCTCAAGAAAACTAGGCCAGTCTATTACGAGGCAGAGCCCATACCTGTAAGAAGCGGCTTATTCATGCAAGTGGTTGAGCAGGCAGCGACGCTGGCGAAACTCCAGACGGAAGAGGGCTAGATGTATGTACAAGAGAGAGGGGTGTCGGTAGACCAGTGGGGAGCCGTAGCAGGTTCCAAGGCAACGTGCTTGGGAAGCCCGTATATGCCTCCGATATGAACTAACCGCTGCGTTTTCCCAGAACTTCTCCTGCTAACATTATGTTTTCCCCTCATTCATTTCCGGGACCTTTCATAAATATCTGACATCTTCAAACACTTCTGGTTGCAACTATACTTGATTCGTTCCAGTCAGTCGGGACGGTCAGGAGGGGTAGGATGAGCTTGCCCCCGCTGCGTTTTTTTTTACCAATAATGTTACCATAAATAGTGATCTAAGAAGAAAACGACTACTGCTAGAAAATGCCGAAGGTCATTCCACCTTCAGACACTTCCTCCCCCTCCCCCCTCCCCCCCCCCCTCCCCCCCCCCCCCCCCCCCCCCGACTGACTGCGACGATGCTGCAGTGAACCCAAACTTAGTGTAACGCCTGTTATTAGGCACACGATGCAGGCAATCTACAAACCTTATTCAACACTCAAAGTAACCACTAGCAAAAAAGTATTCATTATTATACAATAAATAGGTACATATGTGGAACAAGCCCAATCACAAAGACTTCGGCAAGACAGCAACAGCAAAGTTGGAAAGTGAACAAATTCAGAACAAATTCAATCAAATTCAAATTCATGTTTTAAGTACAACTGCATATAACTAGATGACACATAAGTAAACAGTCTATAAACACATGTGTACATACAGAGTGAAAGCTCGATTTTCCGAAGAAAAGAAACAAAATGCTGTGAATCGATAATCGATTGATAAGCGATTTCTACAAGGAGCATGGGCAACCGTGTGTACATATCATGGACGCTGAGATCATGAAACGCTTCCAAGAAATGACAAAATTCGAACTCGCAACCATCATAATCATAAATATTTCTCTAGATTTTTATAAATACTACATAAAATACAAGTCAAAGGCACAGGAAAATTGAGAATCATGAGCGTATTATTTAAACAGTATGGACAAAATCATTCAAATAATTAGTTATTGTATTGATTGCAGTACATCGACGTCAAGAATATCAGCGTGATGAAGGAATCGGCTACAAAAAGAGCTCTCTGCCTGACATTCTTCACTTTCAGACGATTTACCAAAGCATGGCACACCTCCAACAGTTGGCGGAGGTGAAACACATGCACGAACCCTGAGTATTAAATAGCATTATTCATGAAGCAATTAATCGGAAAACAGAGCATGGGTCCCGTGAAAAATAAGTGGGATAAAAGTTCAAAGCAAAATGTCAATAAAAATAAAACTAGTAAATGAATAAAAGAAGAAAGGCCAGAAAAAAACGACTCATTAGCAAGGTGAGAATAGCTCCTTCTTAGAAACACTTTGCGGTTACAGTTCGAGGTTGTTCAACGCTCTTCTATGCTCGTCCAGACGATTCCTCAAAGGTCGCGCGGTCTCCCCCACGTACGTTTCTCCACATCCTCTGCATTGAATGAGATAAACAGTGCCTTGAAGTTCACAAATCTTTTCGGATGAACAGTACCGGCAAGATTCATCGCGGCACCGATTTTCATAAATTCTTGAGGACGTGAGGAGGGTTTTCAGGGTTGGGGGAGGACGAAAAACGAGACGAATGGGAAGCTGGGAGTTCTTCACGACGCGGTTCACCTGACGTGCCATTTTGTCGTTAACGAAAGGCATCATTAAGGTTATTCCATCAGGTGACGTATGTGGATACCAGGTCCTGAAAGGCACTTCGACATATCCGTTGCTTTCAAGGATGTTCTGGACCTTCGCGTCCACATCTGAATCCCTACGCGTCCCAAGCTTCTCCTTTGTTCTGACCAAGTTACGCACGACGTTTGCCTTCATATATATCGGGTGTGCACTTCTGGAATGCAACAGTATATTCGACGAGGCTTCTTTCTTATACCACAGGTGTTCCTTTCGACCTTCACTTATCCGAACTTTCGTATTGAGAAACGGCAAAAAGCCGTCCCTCCCTGGATCTTCTCTGGTGAAGGTTATGTTCCTGTCGTGTGAATTCAGTCTCTCCAAGGTTTCCACAAGATCGTCTTCCGTTCTTCCAATAACAAACACGTCATCAATGTAACGTTTATAAAACAATATTCCACTTGACAATGATGACTTCTCAATGTGGTCCAAGAAGATGACTGCTAACACGGGTGCTATTCGATTACCCATGGCATTTGGTACGGCCGCTCCAGAGGAAAATAATGGAAGCTCGGGAGATACACCGCCTCAAGCCAGAGATCAATGCGAAAGAGGAGCTACGTGACCTTCTGAGACTCATCGCATAATCACCGCCACCCATTTGTCTCATTGTCATAGTGCGGGTCACTTATTGCCCTGACACCCCGCCGATAGGTCCGTCCCTCTCAAGGCCTGGTATGTAAGGTTTTACGCATTGCTCGTTGTAGCTATTATATGTTTGAAATTGTAATTTAAGGCCTGACGAAGGCATTATATGCCGAAAGCTTGCCAATAAAGTGGTTAAACAAGTCAAGAGCTTCAAGCACACTGTTCAAGAACATATTGGATGAAGCTCAGAGATAGCAGCATCTTGTCATATCCCTTAGTATATGGAAGTAAGCTGATTGTGAAAAGAAAACACCTTATGAGAGACGTTAAATAAATATTACCATTCTCGTCTAGAGTTCTCTTCACTTACCTCGTTCTCGAGCCCAAACCACAATTGCCTACACAGGCCGACCATTCATTCCACGCTGACCATTCACCGTCCGTCGACTCTAAACGATGTACACACCTAGACAATTGTGCAACTATTCTCGAATTTTAAATTTGATTTTTGAGTTAGAACAGTAAAAAAACACCATGCTGTGCGAAAAACTGAGTGAGAAATATGTGAACATTCCGGGCAGCTCATAGTAAGTCACTAGGCGAACAAAAGAAAACTGAAAAGGACGTGTTTCACAGTGTCCGCGGAACTTACAGTGAAAGGGAAACACCTGATTCCACCTTCGGCAACGTTACTTACTCGAATGAGCTTTCATGAGAAAAGCCGGCGAACAAGCCGCCAAGCGAAGAAACTCCCCACAAGTGAAGACACATATCGCAATTATTAGTCGTAGATAGCGGGGTCTACTCATGAGCTTGATGTCTTGGTTGTGAGCAAAGCAAAAAAAAAAACCGTCGAAAGCCCAAATGGCCCGATTAAGTTTCAGAACTGGATGGGCGTGCGGCGACCACGATGGCTGGGGACGGGCGGTTACTGCCAACGTCGTTGGGGAAAGGGTTGAGTGCGGTATTGCCAATTGTCCCATCGCAGCACTTCCACCAGTGACGTTGGCAGTGACCGCCCGCCTCCCAAAAATCGCACCCAGTGACTTTGGAAATGCAGAAAAACTTAGTGAGTAGGCGGAGCCGAACACAGGAGGTCTGTTAGTCGCGATGCCTTCCTCCTCTTTCCTTTTTTCCTCTCCTTTAATTCTTTTCTTTCCCTACTTTTCTTGCACCTCTTCGTTACTTCCCTCCCTTCCAATGCTTGGTCAGAAGATGCGGAGAGGAAATTCTGGGTGTCACACCGAGAGAACATCCCAGGTCGACAGGAGTTTCGTAACCGGGGGAGGGCTGGACTTTAGACTACAGAAAACCTCTAAAGCCATTACAACACACTTTCAGACGGCGAAAGTGGCAGACGAGGGACAAATACACGTGAAGAGCCTCGCCTTCTCAGAAATCGCGAATATGTCTTCAAAAGGTGAAACGTTTCCCCGGACACTGTGAACTTGTGGCAATGAACATAAAAATGTGCGAACCGTTGCATGATTCAGTGCCGCAGACAGACGTCTGATGGGCTAAACCCTGGCAGGCTTGTCCGCCCGATGTTGGAGCTGGATTATTACATGCACGATGCCGTGACTGTATAGCGAAACCACATCCGTCCGGACATTCGCTCCAAGCAGACCACGTTCCCCAAGCACCATTCACCGCTGTAAGTGCAAAGCGTCCAAGAAAAAAAAGAAATGAGTAAAAAAATGGCTGAACAAAAAATAGGAAGTCGTGAAGTGATGCAAAATTTTAGGATTGCTTGTGAGAAATCTGCTCTTCAAACACTTTAACTTTTCTGTATTCTGCTATGAACTCGGGCTTCGAGATTGCAACCAGCCTTCAGATTTTGGAACCCGTTAGCAAACATTATCGGGTTCTTCTTTGAAAGTTGTGAGCTTTGAAGAGCGGAATGACTCACTGTAGATGCGCTCAACCAATTCCCATTCCAAGCTATGTGACCCAATATAACCCAAAGCAACTGCGTAAGTTCTCCAAAGTGATCTGATGAGAGCTTTTTTGATGGAGCCGCTCACACGCTGAAGACTTACCCCTGTCAATGAAATTCATGATAGCATCTCTTCGCCTGATACTCACTAAGGATGAGGGACCTGGACACAATCGCTCAGGGGGGAGCGCTAGTACGCCTGGCCGCGATGACGTGTATGACAGTCTTGTTAGCTGCGGATGTCTGGCGAGAGGAGGGACTGGGTTGGACGCGGCGTTAGCGCGGTTTCCATCATTTGTGGAAAGTGGCAAGCGACCGCAACTGGTGCAAAAGGGGGCGTCGCGTCATACCCAGCTGCATGGCATACCCTTACTTTACTTTCCGCGCATTCTTTTAAAACGCCCATTCTTGTGAGTCGCAAAGTACAAACATAATCTGACCAGGATTCGGCGTGCCACATCGCGCTCTCATGAGCGGCTCTGGGACAGTTGTCCTGCTGCGCACTCAGCGAGGATAGCTAAATTAGAACACATTCCGTCCAGATCTTCTGGGCGGACCCTCTCGAAGCAAAGCCCATTTCCACTGTTCCTTCTTAACATTTTTGAAGGAGGGGATATCAGATAGAGACAGGCAGAGTAGCCCAGGTGACTCCGCCTATACGATCAGCGCTCCCTTCAGTTATAAGTGAAACTTGCTATTGCTGGTTTCCGTACATGATTGAAGACCCTGGAAGGTAATTACGAGTGGGCCCAATAAAGCGCATCGCTAAGAGTATTCGAAAGAAAGCGTTAATTACAATTTCGGCATTTGGCCTCGTTTACACACGGCTGTAGCTCGAAATCACTTCCGAAACATGGACGTCCTCCTTGTGAAGGGCGCGGCTTCGAGCAGTACCTGTAATGGTCAGCTCTAGGAGCTTGTTAGGATGAGCGGAGAGAAAAATGGGGAGGAAGAATTGCCTTGTTCGACTTCGATGTGCGTTGACACAAGAATCTCCACAGTCACTCCATTCGCTCCAATCACTCCACCCACCATCAACGCGAACGCCACACGGCGCCGACGAGGTGCATGGACGTTGATCAAACGAGTAGCCGACGCAATACGAGCCTCTGAAATATTGCTGCACACTGAAAAAAGTTTGGAGTTATCACGAAACATTCAAAGATAGGTAAGTGAGGTGGTGAGTGGAAGGTTTTGAATGCCTTCAAAAAGTGAGTGTACGCTTACCTCCGTGGATCCTGTTTATACACTGTACGAGGTGAATGGGTCCACAGCTGCAGTAACATAAGACTTTCTCTGCTTGAAAGTGCACGGGAGCGTGGTTGGAGCGTTTTCTTGTCCAGCCTCGTCTCCATACTCCGCCTACACGGCAGGTCACACCCCCAACCCTAGCCAAACTTGCTAATTGTTTGCGCCCCTTCACTTTTCATGTTCTCTACCACTGAATACGTGTTCCGCTGCTGGATCTTGGTATCGACACAAGTGGGAATAACGCGAGCGGGGTCGGGAACGTCACCCAGGCATCTTACCTCCCAGCTCACTTCCCGTGCACTTTTGAGTGGGGAAAGTGGCACGCAGTTGCGGACCTGTTCAACTTGCACGTGGCCATTCTTCGTGAATGAGTACGTAGGTGAGACTGGGAACTCAAGCCTCCCCCCCCCTCCCCCCTCCCACCACATAGAGAAAAATTTAGTGGACCCAACCCAATTTTCCACTGATCTCGCCAATTCCACTTTGTGCTCTTGAGTATCTGCTAAGATGAGCATTCAAACGCAAGCACCTACCTGTTTGATGGTAGTGGTTCGGAGCACATCCTATTACGAATTTGATGTCCAGTTCCCTGGCAGTCTTTCGAGCACAAGGACCATTCTGACCATGCGGACCATCCTCCAGGAGAAGCAGCACACGACTGAACAAGAGAGGTACAATTGAAATCTGATATCGACTCTATGTAGCTGTGATCATTGTTCTGTGAAAACAAAAAGTGCTGAGGGGATCCTGTGCTGTCTTCACTTACCCTTGCTGAGCATTGTCGTTGATCGAGTATGGCCCCAGTGCAAAATCCCTGTACGGCGGGATCCGAAACTAGGCAGAATCGTCGCCTGCTCTCCATCAAAGTGAAACACGTACACGATGACCACGACGACCACTCGGACCACCTCGGGACTGAAAAATTAAAGCATTTCGCGTTCAAACCATGTAGCAACTACTCAGTCGAAAAGTAGCGAGAGGTAGTAGTAGTTGACAAAGACTAACCGCTGACATGGTTATTCGCATGTGATGGCTCACAAGGAGTCAGAGCCGAGCATGATCGGGTTTGTATTGGTTGACCGTCGCACTGACAGAAGAAAGAACTTAGTAAAGTAGGTTTGAAACCTGGTGCTTAATGTTGTAGATATTTGCTTCGCTAAGGTAGCTGTGGGCGGCCACTGTTTGACGAAAGAACTGCCTCCGTGCTTGTCTGCACCCTCACGCTGAGAGAGATTCGCCTGGTAATGCTTCCCCACACAGGTTAGCCGTTGGGAGCACAGACGATAAGAGTATGTGCGGACTAGACTCCTACAGGATACGCCATCGGGATAAGTGAAACGGCAGTGTCAGTATTACGCTCCAAATTTTTTCCTTTATCAAGAGCCCCTATTGCGCGCCACCTAGAGTCGTCCTTGCAGTAGACGCCAGGGTGAGTCAGAAAAGCTGGGTTTAGCGCATCGCCAGTCCACTCTCTATCGATTGCTGAAGCGGACAAGCGACAACAACTGGTGGAAAGCGGTTGGCGTCGCACTAATCCCCCCCCTCCGTGAGACGCCGTAGTGTCTGCGGCGAAAAATACTATACTACCCTATGAAAATTTTTCCCGTTTAGACTGGACAATCCTGATGGATTTTTCAGACGATGTACCCTAACCCCACAGGGTGACCTCCCTCAACTGTTCTGTAACTTAGTACTGACTTTGTTCAAATTTTAGAAACATGTTGATCACAGACCTGAAAGAAGAATGATTGAAGGCAAGCGCGTCGTCTCGACTGTACTCCACCATCTCCACAAGTGACCGAGCATGTTGACCAAGTTGTCCAAGGAGACCAGTACGAGTCTGAAATTCACTACTATAAAATGTGGTTTGAACAGCTTAGTCTCAAGTAGCAGTACCTCCGGGACACGGCTGTTCGTTACACTTCTCTTTCACGGATTCAAGAGGCTGGGGCGGGCATTTGCGTCCAATGCATACCCTTGTCCTGAAAAACAGATCGATGAAAACTCCATTTGGGATTGGTGAGGATAGTAGGCGGATCCAGTAAGCGACGACTTTGTCGCGCCTATCTTATTCCCGCCCTCTATGAAGTGAAGAAAGCGGGAGAAGAGGGACGCGCCAAAAACGACATTCCATGTCTCCGCCCACCTCACGATTCGAAACCTGTCTTGTCTTGTACTTGTCTTCAGCTTGGCAAGGGAAGAGTGAATGGTTTTTCTTTTGCTAAGCATCAGCTATTCTTTGTGCTAGACTTATTACTGATTCAGAATTCTTTGTCAAACATTAGAAGGCAGTAGGCACCATTGCTGAGGGTGGCGGTTATTTTATAATATTAGATTTTACAACATAGTCCATTAATTTCAATTTCAATGATTTAATTGCCTGCGTGATTGGGGGAAGGGCTGTGGGGCTGAGACAGCGTTTGGCTACACCCCACTTCAGCCCCTCCACCAATGATGTTGGCGGCAACCGCCCACCCCCGGCAGCCGTGCCCAGTTTCGCAGCGCCGGCTGCGACAGATGCCACTGTCCAACATAGCAGCGACCTGGCGGAGCAGGAGAGAACAGACGGATCTGTCTCTCTCCTGCTCGTATTTCTCATTTTCATTCCAAAGTGCCTGTACAAAGGTAGAACGTACCTTCTCCTTTTGCCGGTTCCGCAGGTTTGTGAACATTCAGTCCATTCCATCCAATCGCCCCATGCTTCATCTGTGATAGGTACTATACGACCACCGTGGGCGACAACCTGAAATATGATATTTTCACTGGCGTGCTGAAATTTCGCATTTTTTGAAGTACTTCATATGAAAAGTTCCAGAGAAGTCAGAAAGAAAAGAGCGTAATGCAAGGGAAACGCAGACCAAAATGACCTAGCCTGCTGCGGTATCGAGAAAGAAGCACTCAGTGACCCCCTGGACTTTCACTAGACTTCAGTCCGCGAGGGAAACGCGGACCAAGATGACTACCTGGTTAGTCACATGGCATGCTAAGCGTGTTGCAGGCAGTGTGATGTATCCTTCGCCCCTCAGAAAAATCTATACAACTCTCTAGCCTGCCGCGGTATCGAGAAAGAAGCGCTGAGTGACCCCCTGGACTTTTACAAGACTTCAGTCTGTTGTATAAAAGTAATATACTGACTAAGGAAAGCCCCCTCCCAAGCCGAACTGTGCCAACATCTATTCACACTCACCCTTCGTCTCCCCTTGCCCGTTATGAGTTCAATATCCCGATGATGATTATCATCTGATATTCCCGCATTATCGCAGTACTCGTCACATGGCTCATCCACTTGTGATGGTCCTGAAGAAAATAAACGGCCTATAAGGAGTAATTAAAAAAACCACGACGCAACAAATCTTACCTTCACATGATGCATTGCCCTGTCGCGAATGCGCGATGCATCGTCTTCGTCTTGAGCGACTGTGGGCGCTGGAACAGGACGGGCAATCGGACCATTCAGTCCACTCATCCCAGGCAGGACATGGTCCACTGACACAACGGCGTTGACGCACATTATCCACCGGTGGACACTCACCTTCAGCAAAGGGAAATAAATAGTTTCTGACCAAACAAAAATTAATTTTTCTGACTTCCAAGTTTCAGTATCAAACAAAGGATAAGGATATAATCAGAATAAGATAAGGTTTAGCGTCAGATAGAGTCTGAATATTTTGCGTTGGCCTCGAAGGAGGTCTTCGTTAAGCAGAAGGTTATCCAGTCCTCGACTCTGCATAATCTCTCAGGCGACACATCAATGTCTTAAAGGCAGTGGCCACGAGCTGGAGGAGGGCGGTTGCCGCTAGCGTCATAGGTGGATGGGCTTTGGAAGGGCGTTTGGTCACACACCACGCGTCTCTTCCACCAATGACCTTGGGAACACCCCCTCCCCCAAACTTTCCCAAGGCCTCTTATCTCTGAGGATGACGGACCTTGTCAGGGGTGGGAATGGGTTTGGTGCGTCGCCAGCCCGTTTTTTTTCTTTCTCCACAAGGCTGTATCACATCGTTCGTGTCAGTCGTTTTCCCACCAATTGTTACCGTTTACCTGCTGCAACAACTGGTAGAGGACGGGCCGGCGGAGCGCCAAGCTTCACTGATACACCTCTGCATCCGTAACGAACAAGACTGTGGCTCATATGCCGATAGCACTCCGAATACCAAACGAACCTCGCCTGCATCTCCTTTCCTTTCTTTGAAAGCCCTCGCCGCATGTCTGACTGCATTCAGACCATTCGCTCCATTCTTCCCACACAAAATCGTTGGAAGTCTCAGGGCAGGGCTAAACCAAGTCTTTTCATCCACTGCACAATCGCAACGAGGTTGATTCATAATATTTAAAAATCGTACCTGCTCATTGCATGTCCTGGCTTGTTTGTTCGCGGTCGCGCACAAGACTCCTTCACAGAGTCGCTCTCGAATTTGGAATCCTATACCACATGAAACCGAACATGGAAGCCAGTCACCCCATACTCCCGTTGAACAGCGCTGAAATTGTTTTCTGAAGGACGAAGCGTTTGGCTGGAACTGCAGCCACCGGTTGGAGCTGACTGGCTGGAACTATTCCGAATTTTGGCTAGGTTTTAAGAACGCGTGTCCCGGTCGTAAACCAAAGCGACAAAAATTTCGGTTTGATTCCCATCCACGTCCACAAAATGAAGCGCGTTCGCAGGTATGACTGCCTCTCTCCGTCCGCTAGAGTCAGTGAGTTCAATCTTTTAGACGCTACGGAGAGCAGCTACACTCCATATCGCAGAACGTAGAAGAGCGTGCATACTTTGTGAGTGGTGGCGCGACAGGCGCTTCTTGGCAGCTGATATTGTCGTTTTGGTGAGAACATTGCGACCATGCCTTTCGTCCAGTGCGAGGACAGGGTTCACAGGTGTTTCGAGCATGGGATACCCATGCAAAATGGCATGCCTAACTACATGTGTAAAGACAGCACCAGACGACCCGTCTCGCGCCGTAGCCGGATAATGGAGTACACGCTGATAGTCGCAATCAGTCGGAGCAGTGTCAGAAACCGTATAGTTAGCCTGTGCGTTTCCACCAGTAGTGATTGTGAATGATTGATCCAGGAGGGAATTAATCAGCGGTAGAAAGCGCAGCAAATAGGCTCACTTTAAAGGCAGTTGGCACGATTGTTTCCTACTTGGCCTGAAAATGCTAGTAGGGCGCTGTATAGTGGGGAAAGAACGGAGTGAAACGGTCAAAATCCTGCGAAGAAAAAGCCTCCGTTCTCAGTGACTTGTAAATCGATTTCGGACGAGTTTCCCGTAGGCATCTTGCCAATCACCGCTACCGAAGCTGCATATGTGTACCCATGTATGCATGCAGCATCACGGCCGCTTCATACCAATCCCTTCGCTTCATAATTTGCTTAGCAAATGAATGAATACGAGCGTCAGGAACGGTCGTCCATTTGTGGGCGGGCGGGCGTGGCGGGCGTTTGGGACGTAAAGTTGTGGCTTGATAGGGCCCTGGGCACCTTCCTCGGGGAAACCGCTATGCAGCGCCTGCCCAGGGTCGCGGAATTCTATCCTGCCAGGAGTATTGATCCTAGTCGTCTTGGGGGATTTATCGTGCCAACTGCCTTTAAGCCTCTTGACACCGCCCCAACTAACTGCAACGAAGTCATCTGTAGTCCTATATAATCTTTGAAAATAATTACCTCGGTATTACACTGCCCAACTTCAAAAGCAGCTCCTTCGCATTCACCAGGAATAGGGCAGACCCGTTCTCGCTTTCGGTGACCACCATCACAGGTTTGTGAGCATTCCTTCCATTCTGACCATGGTAGCCAACAAGCCATCTAAATCGATTGATTGAAACTGATTGAAAATTATCAGAAATCCACAACACATCTTGAACAAGAACCTTTCCAGGATTCCAACATGGCCGCTTTTCCTCGGTAACTTCATTACAGTCTTCGGCTAGACACTGTCTTTTACGTTTTTGCTGTCCTTGTCCGCAGTCACTTTCACAAGCGGCCCATTCACCCCATTCCGTCATCATCTCGCACTCTGGAAGACGTGGGAGGCAAGGTCGCTGCTCTTTCTCTTCACCTAAATGTATGAATCTTATGATAGTCCTTCTTCGCTTCCTCGTTCGATAAATTACACAATATAGCTCACCTATACAACCCGCGAACCCTGAACTTGCGCAATCTCGCTGACGAACCTGTCGACCATGTGTTCCGCAAGTGGCACTACACACCGACCATTCAGACCTGGAATTTAGAGAATGCTTTACTAGTCGGTTCCTCCGACTATCTTCCCATCGCCCCATCCTTTTCCTCCAATCTCTTCACTGTTCCCTCCAAGGTCTCAGCATTACATCTCTCATTCCCACATTTCCATCAGTTACTCAAGTTTTTGTCCATTCATTTCCCCTTGTCTCTTTTCTCTCCTTTCTTCGCTATCTGCCGTTGTTTCCCAGTTGTTTCTCTCCCTTAGAACTGGTTCATTCCCTTTTCCGCTGACTTCTGCCGTTCGGATTCTCTCCCACTCATTCCGTCGCCGTCGAACTGTAGCCATATCACTGCAAACAACAGGGCGTGTGAGGAGACATATGTTGGATAGCGGCTAGAGCAGCCATTCCCGCCAAGCGTTGCGGGCTCCGGATGTCATCATTGGTGGAGAGAGCCGCCTTGGCAGCGCTCCAATCCACGCCCTGTCGATTGCAGCCAACATGGCTATACCTTCCAATCGCGATCGTTTTCAAATTACTCACCAAAAGTGCTATGGCAGAGCATATGTACCTACCTAAGATATTTCGTTTGCTATTTTCTAATAATTACGGAGACAAGTGCTAACTAGGTGCAGCGAAGCAACACATTGTTAGTGCTATTGTACACATAAAGGTGCTAAGTAGATCAAAGTCTCTTCGGCCTAAATTTATGTTCCTGTCATTTGTTCCATGACAGGAAGTGGTAGCGCGACGGTACCAGCGCAACTTGTTCCTTCTGTTTCCTTCTGTAAATGTAAATGCATTTCCACTTCCCTTCCGCTGATTCTGTCATAATAGTACAGAACAGTACTTGTATTATTCCCGGATTTTAAGTTTTCAAATTTCACAAATATAATGATGATGTCAAAGAGATCAACCACAATGGTCACTAGGTCTACATTAACATCTGAGGAACAAATTTCAGAAGCTTATCCTTGGATCTTTTATTTAGACTAGGACTTCAGCACTTACTCCTGGTAACACTGGAGTTTTCTTTATCTTTACTGCATAATTATATATTACATAAGCATGGTGCGTGTGCATTGTGCTGACGGAGACGTGACGTGCAATGCTACATAATTACGTGCGTTTTCAAGGCACAAACCAATCGTTCCATCCATTTTGTCGCTTACGATTTGGGCAATCCTCTTCACTGGCTACAACTGCTTTGTCGTCACATCCCAGTCTCTAAAATTAGAATATTGTTCAAAAATTACCCGAATAGGGCCCAATGAGGATGATTGAGAGCTCACAAGGCATGTGCCGCTTATACAGTACTGTTCCGGACCGCATGGCGTTCCCGTCTGGGAACTGGCCTTTGTTGCGGATCAGTTCCGAGTCGATCAGATGACACCAAACTTTGCATGGTTGGGTTGCGTCTGAAACGTGATATGGTCATTGATAGCATTATGGAGGTACCGGGCTCTGTGAGAAGACAGGTGAGTGGACGAGTTTGAGAATGTCGTGTCTCCTTTCAAGGAACGACTCAGCATCACTTCTCCACGAGAGTAGCTTTAATGCCTTTTCTCAGCTTGCCACCCGAAACAGAAAAAAGCGCAAGGTTTCCCAAGTGGACTCTGACTCTGACCTACTAGTTGAGACTCTGAACTGCTGCTAACATGAGGCGTTTCTCGAGAGTGGAGGCTTCCGGTGAGGGGCGGAGCTTCTTTTAGTGGGCGGGTTTACTGTAGCAACCAGGACATGAAAATTGTGGAATAGAGCTCCTCATACTGGGCGGGGCTTCCCGTGGCGGCCCAAAAATGGGAAAATTTTGAAGAGAGATTAGAATTTTACAGAAATTGCCAATGTGGGCGGAGCATAGTGTGTCAGTGCGTGCATACGCGTCTATGGGTATCTCCGTTGTGCGAGGAACGCACTGAAAAAAGGATGTTGGACGAATAATGAGATTTTGAAATTCGCCACAGTTCCTGCCAAGGTTTGTTCTTTGAACTCGTCCGATTGAATGCGCACAATGAAGTTCATCTTTAGGATTTACTCGAGAAGAATACAGTAACCGTATATGCTCATCTATAAAGCACGATCCACTCAAACCCGATCGACAGTTGACTGGCGAGGGCTTCGAACGTAGGTGTCCTACTTTTGGTCAAAAGCTGCCAGTTCGTATATACTATTTTCATTTTGAATTAACCACTTTTCAAGCAGAATTCTCGGCTTTTCTAGTCCAATTTACGAGTTTTCAATCCGAGTACAACACTCTTTACACCGCGCAATCAACTAGCCGGATCATGCTGGACAGTACTGCAAGCCGGCTCCAGCCCTGACAGCCACGCCCACTTTCCAGCGCTGTCGTGACCTTTCAAGTTTTATTTTATAACTTTTGCTTCTGTGACTTCGTCGCATTGTTGCTAGTTC